TTGCTTCAAAATTTTTTTCACAGTTACTATTGCTAATTGTATTTCCCTCTATTCTATCCCCCATTTATTCTATTCTCTCTCTCTCCTTTCACCCTGTCCCTCATCAAAAGTGTTCTGTTTTTGACTACCCCCTCTCCCAATTTGCCCTCCATTCTATCACCCCCCCCAACTTCTCTTATCCCTTTTCCCTCCTACTTTCATGTGGGGTAAGATAGATTTCTATACCCAATTGATTGTGTATGTTATTCCCTCTTTGAGCCAGTTCTGATGAGTGTAAGGTTCACTTTTTCCCCTTCATTTCCACCCTTTTCTCCTCCACTATAGAAGCTTTTTTTTTGCCTTTTTTTATGTGAGATAATTTACCCCATTCTACCTCTCCCTTTCCCTTTGTCCTAGTGTATTCCTCTCTCTCTCACCTTAATTTTATTTTGTAGATATCATCTCTTCATATTCAGCACAAACTTTTGTCCTCTATCTCTATATATCCCTTTCAACTGTCCTAATAGTGAAAAAAATTCTTGAGTTACAAGTAGCATCTTCCAATGTAGGAATGTAAATAGTTTAACCTTATTAAGTCCCCTATGATTTCCCTTTCCTGTTTACCTTTTTATACTTCTCTTGAGACTTGTATTTGAAAGTCAAATTTTCTATTCAGCTCTGGTATTTTCATCAAGAATGCTTGAAAGTCTCCTATTTCATTGAATGTCTATTTTTCCCCTGAAGGATTATGCTCAGTTTTATTGGGCAGATGATTCTTAGTTGTAATCTTAGCTCCTTTACCCTCCAACATATCATATTTCAAGTCCTCTGATCCTCATAGAAGCTGCTAAATCTCGTATTATCTCTACTATGGCTCCATCATACTTAAATTGTACCTTTCTGTAATATTTTCTGCTTGATCTGGGAGCTCTAGAATTTGACTATAATATTCTTAAAAGTTTTCATTTTGGGATCTCTTTTAGGAGGTGACCAGTGGATTCTTTCAATTTCTATTTTACCTTCTGAGTCTAGAATATCAGGGCAGTTTTCCTTGATGATTTCTTGAAAGATGATGTCTAGACTCTATTTTTGATCGTGGCTTTCAGGTAGTCCAATAATTTTTAAATTATGTCTCCTGGATCTATTTTCTAGGTCAGTTGTTTTTCCAGCAAGGTATTTCACATTGTCTTCTATTTTTTCATTCTTTTGGTTTTGTTTTATTGTTTCTTGATTTCCCAGAGCTCCTATTTGCTCCATTCTAATTTTTAAGGAATTATTTTCCTCAGTGAGCTTTTGTACCTCCTTTTCCATTTGGCCAATTCTATGTTTTAAGGCATTCTTCTCCTCATTGGCAGTTTGTACCTCTTTCACCATTTGGCCTATCCTGTTTTTTAAGGTGTTAATTTCTTCAATATTTTATTGTGTCTATTTTACCAAACTGTTGACTCATTTTTCATGATTTTCTTGCATCACTCTCATTTCTCTTACCAATTTCCCTCTACCTCTCTTAGTTGATTTTCAAAATCCTTTTTGAGCTCTTCCATGGCCTGAGTCCAATTCATGTTTTTCTTGGAGGCTTTGGATGTAGGAGCTTTGACTTTGTTGTCTTCTTCTGTGTGTTTTTTGATCATCTTTGTCACCATAGTAACTTTCTATAGTCAGTTTTTTCTGCTGTTTGTTCATTTTCCCAACCTTTTACTTGACTCTTTGTTAAAGTGAGGCTCTGCTCCCAGGGTGGTGGGTGCACTGTTCCAGCCTTCTGGGTTTTTGTGCAACTGTTTTCGGAGATACTCCTAGAGACCTATACATTTTCAGTTCTTCCAGGGTGGTATGATCTAAGGAGAGATCTTTACTACTCTCCTGGCCTGTGGTCTGGTCTGTGAGTGATCACAAGTACTCTGTTTTAGTGTTCCTTCTCGCCCTGGGACTGCCACCCAGGACTGCAACCTAGATCCAAGTATGGGCAAAGCAACAGAGTCCCTCCTCAGAACTAGCAAAGAGACCCCTGTAATCTGCTTCTGACCAGTCATTCAACCCCCTTACCATCTGGACTGAAAGCTCTTGAAGCAGCAGCAGCAACTGTTGCTCCTGCTGATTCAGCGACTCCTAAGGCCTGCTCCTGGTTTCCTGTGCCAGAGTGCACTCCTCTCTCACCCTAGTGCAACAGACCTTTCCTGCAGACCTTCTTAGTTGTCTTGGACAGGAAAATTGTTTCACTCTATCTTTTTGGTGGTTCTGTCAGTCTAGAATTTGTTTATAGTCGTTATTTCTTTAAATAATATTTGGAGAGGTTTGGGAGAGAGATCATGAGAGTCCCTACCTTTATTCTGCCATCTTGGCTTCATTTCAAAAGCATATCTGTTTCTGCCTAGGTATCATAAAATAGGATTCATAGACACTAGGCATCCAAAAATAAGAGGATGTTAGTCACACTATTGGAGAGAAAGTACTGTAGAGTAGAAAGTCTGTCACTGTACACGGCCTTGGTCAGACAACTTTGTGTCCATTTTTGGATGCCAGTTACCTAGGACCTTGATAACCTGGAGAACATCCTGAAGAGGGCAACTAGGATAGTGGAATTCATGCTACAGAAGGATCATTTGCAGGTACTATCGATATTTAAGCCAGAGAAGAGAAAACTTTAGGGATGAAGGATGTGTGTATATGAGTGCATGTGTGCGTGCATGTGTGTGTGTGTAGGATGACAATTATCTTCAAGTATATGAAGGACTGTCATGTGGAAAAGAGATTAGATTTATTCTGTTTGCCCCACTTCGTAGAAGCAGTAGATGGAAGTTATAAAAGCCTAATGACCACTTGTCAAGTATTGGTAGAGAGGAGATTGATTTTTAAGTAGAGGTTGAAGTAAATAAATAGCCCTTGAGTGCCTTTCCTTTTAAGCCTATGAAATTATTAATTTGGATTCTGTATAAGGAAGCATAAGGCAGTTAGGTGTCACAGCATGTTAGCCCTGGCCTCAGACATTTACTAGCTGTGTGACCCTGGGCAAGTCACTTAACTCTGTTTGCCTTAGGTTCCTCATCTGTAAAATGAGCTGGAGAAGGAAATGGCAAACCGCTCCAATATCTTTGCCAAGAAAACTCCATGGACGTTATGGTCCAAAACAGGGGTGGGGAACTTCGACCTCAAAGCGACACGTAGCCCTCTAGGCCCTCAAGTGCAGACCTTTGATTGAATCCAACTTCACAGAACAAATCCCCTTAATAAAAGGATTTGTTCTGTAAAACTTGGACTCAGTCCAAAGGCTGCACCCGAGGACCTAGAAGGCCACATGTGGGCTCGAGGCCGTAGGTTCCCCACCCCTGATCCAAGGAGCCATGAAGAGCTGGACACAGCCAAAGACTGAACAGCAATAAAATAAGAAAGCATAATCTGAATTACTGAAAAATAATGATTTATGGAATACTTTTGAATGAAGCTATGGAACTATAACTTTTAAGTAAATATAGAAACTATATGTATACAGTATATATTGAGTTTGTTTATTCCTTCTTTAAATAAATATTTATTAAAAGCCTATGTGTAAGGACATGTATTATGCCCTAAGGGTCACTCTAAGATAGAGAGTGAGTCGCGCACTCCCAGTGCACAGCTGACAATCCCCAAAGCCCCAGGAGGAGGCAGACAACAACAATAATAATAACTAGCATTTATATACAGCTTTAAGTTTTGCAGAGTTTTACATGTGTCAATTCATCTGGGCACCTTGGGAAAACGTCTAGGTAATCCCACCCTAGTTCCAGTTCTGTCTCTGGAAGACTGACTTCTCACAATTCACCTCCACTGGAGTCCATTATCCCTCCTACCCACCCCCTCAGATCTGTACCAGGAAACTGGTAAACTTGTCTGTCAGGGAAGTTCGTTCTCCCAAAGGATGCACCAAATAGGACCCATGTATAAAGAACAAGATGAAAAGGACTTACGTGGAAGCGGAAGAGGTTTGGCTGCCCGAGAACAACAAATACCCATTGACCTAGGAGAAGGGCAGGTACAAAATGATGTTTGTCTGTCTCCTCTTGGGTCTTTATGGTCAAATTCTGAGCCTATTACATCTCTGAGATGTCTCCTTCTGTACCTCAGTTGTCATACCCTTGTTCTGAAGGTTTTGGAAAATAGCCTCAAGATTCTGATTATTATGTTATCGGATCCATACTTCTTCACTTGCCTTAGCACTGAGCTGATGCAGCCTGTGGGAGGGGATGTGATCCCTCTAGAAATGATATGTTAATTGAATGTCCTTTTGTTCCATTAATTATTGCCTAGAACAAAATACCCATCCCTGACTACCACTCCTTTATATGTGTTGCCCTTTCCTATTAGAATGTCAACTCCTTGAGGGCAGGGACTCTCCTGCTTTGGTATTTGTATCACCAATTGTAGCACAATGCCTGGCACATAGTAAATGTTTAATAAGTGTTCATTCATTCTTTGAAAGCCAGATGTTGACTATTTCCAAGGGCAAGAGGGTAAGAGATAGATTTGGAGGGATTGGGAGAACAAGAAAGATGGATGCTTGTGGTATAAGAACAAACCATGGGGGCAGCTAGGTGGCCCAGTGGATAGAGCACTGGCCCTGAAGTCAGAAGGACCTGAGTTCAAATCTGGCCTCAGACCAAACACTTCACACTTACTAGCTGTGTGACCCTGGGCAAGTCACTTAACCCCAATTGCCTAAAAAAAAAAAAAAAAAAAAAGAACAAACCATGGACAATATATAAATCAAGTTCACCTGGTCTTGAAGTCATAGTGTACACTCAAAGAAAACTAGGAAGACACCACAGGTCTTGCTGGGCAAGTCCATCCTGATTTACATGTTGGTATGAATCTCATGCTTCTTGTCCAATGGAATCCACTGTCCGGTCCCCCTCAAATTTTGTGAACTCCTCGAGGTTCACCTACTCATGATCTCTAGGCTAGATCTAAGAGCCTGTTGTTTTGTTTCTGGGGGGTAAATCTCCTTTCAAATTGATGTATTTTTCAGCCATGTCAATTTCTCCCAGGTAGCAGGGATAAAGGGAATGTTCTTGGCTAACAAGAAGATTGACAACCAAGTGAAGACTTTCATCACATACAACAAAGGCAGAGACTGGCGGTTGCTGCAGGCTCCTGACACTGATCTGAGAGGGGACCCTGTACATTGCCTACTGGTAAGTCACCACATTTAAACAAACTTTTCCCCAGGTAACTGTGTGAATACACCGGGTATCAGAGAGGAAACGGGCCAGCCTACCTCACCTCTTGTGGAAGAGCTAAAATACTCAGAACAGGAGGATAGAAGGGAATAGGGTCACAGTAGGTATTTGTATCCCCAGTTCCTAGCATAGTGCTTGGGACATGGTAAGAACTTAATATGAATTGAATTGTGGCAGAACCTTTCAGAGAGATGTAAGTGGCCAAAATGGTATGAAAATGTTAACAGCATCACCTTGGTTTAGTCTCTTGAATTGTCCGATTCCTGGTTCTCTCTTTGACTGAGACACTGAAGGGGAATTTATGGGAGAATTTAGTAGTTGCCCAACACGACAGGGACATTCCACCAACATCCCTACCTTTCTGTTAGTGCCCTTTTATGATCTGATCATCCATTGACTTTGTCTAAACATTCTTGAACTTGCGTCTCTAACTAGTCTGCACTTCTTCTGGGGGTAAGAAGCACCATTTATTTGTTTTTGTTTTTGTTTTCTTATCCTCCATGATACAAATTAAGGGAGTAACATGGAGTTACTCCACATGTTAGTGGAAAGAGGGCTGGATTTACATTCGGGAAGTCCTGAGTTTAGTTTCTACCTCTGATTATGACTTAGCTCTGTGACTACAGACAAGTTATTTGGCCTTTCTGAGACTCAGACGAATCCCTTAAAACTATTTAAGTTTATCAGTGTATCTGAGTGTGCAGAGATGGAGGAAAATTCTACACTGAGGAAATCATATGTCCTGAATGTATGAAGTTGAACTTCATTGAAGTTGTTTTAAAAAATCAATCAATCAATAAAAGTTGAGTGATCAATTGCTATGTGCTGTACCAGGGGATGGGGGGTGGGGAGAGAGAGACAGAGACAGAGACACATACACAGAGAGACAGAGACAGAGACACATACAGAGAGAGAGAGAGAGAGAGAGAGAGAATACACAGAGTAACAAAAGCTTTAAGATATGATTAGATGCTCCTGAAGCAGCTTCTAATCTGGTTGAGGAAATGAGACTTAGATATATGAACCAACCAGAGAACAACATAAGCCAAAGCACCATTAAGGACTAAACTGTGTGGGACAGACTAAAATCAATGCAGAATTTCAGAAAAGAAAGATACTTCAATGTCCAAAGAGTAGCTCTGACTCTTAGCATTCTGAGATTTGATGAATAAGGTCACATTTATCCTGTCAGTATGATTACTTAGACCAGAGGTTCTTAACATGATCTTGTTGAAAAAAAAAAAAAAAATATATATATATATATATATATATATGTATTTTAAAGGGGCAGCTAGGTGGCACAGTGGATAGAGCACTGGCCCTGAAGTCAGGAGGACCTGAGTTCAAATCTGGCCTCAGACACATAACACTTACTAGCTGTGTGACCCTGGGCAAGTCACTTAACCCCAATTATTAAAAAATACGTATTTTAAATGTTTTTGATAACTAGATATCAATATAGTTTTCTTTATAGTTCTATACATTTTATTTTATACATTTAAAAGTATCATTTTGAGTAGTCCATAGGATTCATGATAGTGTGATCTGTTGCAATGGCACAATACTCTGGATCATCAGTACGGTCCTTCATTCCCAGGAAGTATGAAAAACAATTGCCAAAGGGATATAATTGACCACAGTGGGGAAGGGGGCTGATTAGCCATTATGGAATAAGATGTAAGAACAGAGATGGAGTCTTGGAAATCATGATTTTACTTTATATTAGCACATAATGCAGTTGACATAATGGGGTATCAATACTTATTTGATGACTGATTATTATTGGAAGGAAGGCATTTTACTGAAGAGAAATACCCAAATACAAAACTCAGGATGTAACCAGAATGTGCTGAATCTGAGCTCTTAAACTTAAGCTGACCTTGAAGTTCAAAAATAATTGTTAGGGTCATTAAGACTGGAGAAAGATTAATTAAACTGACTAAGATAAACAGCTCCCAGGAGCTTTCCTCCTCCCTCCTCCCATTAACCCAGCCGCTTGCCTGCCTTAAATTTGTTTCACCACAGGCTTTGGAAGAGCCAGGGAAGGAGGGGGCAGTGAGCTGGGCCAGAGACTAAAATCACTTTGCAAAAATCTGCCAAAGACAGAAAATAGAATCGAAAATCTTTGAGCTCTAGGAGATTCAGAGTGTTAACAACCTACTTTGGGCCCAGGAGCTGGTGGCTGGCAGCAAGGAGATAAAGAGCGATTTAAGATTGTGAGTACTTGGAGAGTGACAGTGTCACCGCCAGCCCAACCGAGTGATTAGAAAAGAGATTTTCCAGCAGGGCTGCCTCCAATGTGGAACAAGTTCAGAATTACAGCTCCAAATGGAAAGTTCCTTGTAAAATGCATTCTATAGAAGTAAGACATCCAGGATAATTTGGGACCATATTTTAAGGCCTTTTAGACTGATTACTTGCAGGGCTCAGCAGGGATTCTTTTCTCCACAGACTGCTTTGTGCAATTAGACAGGGGTATTACCAGGGCAGGGCTCACTACCTTCTAAAGTCTCGGGATTGGGCCCCTGAGGGGCAACATGTGAGACCAGCTGAACTCATTACAAATTCTTAGTCCCTAGGGAAAATATAGCACTTAATAAAAGGAAGGTCCATTTTTCAGTAAATATAGTCACTAGTTCCCTGAAAGGGCTGGCACTAAGAAATTGGATGCCCTGGGGCAAACCTCAGTTATGTATCTCATTCCCTCCCCTTCCCTTCCCCCCATGAGGTACAAATTAGTGTTAGAGAGGTAAGTATGACCCATTTATGCCCCATTAGCTATGGGCCTCCCTCCCCACTTTGCTACTGACTCTTAGATCTTGTATCTAGGGCCTTATTTGGCCCAGTTAGAGGAACATTCTGTTTCTTACAATACCTGCTGCCCTGTGATCATATGGCTTGAAAATATGGTAACTCTAAATCTATTCCTTACTTCAAACCCTTTGTTAATAAATGGAATACTGGCCCTAGGTACTCCTTACTGAGAGGGACAAAGTGGGAATACACGAAGATTGTAACCCCAGGCCAGAGATTCTGTTGTCTCTGTAGTGGACAGGGTCCACATCTTCAATCTCTTTGGATCTCTGCATGAAGAAAAATAAAGGCAATTTAAAGAAGAAAATTTGATTAGGAAGTTTAGCGACCTGAATTTCATCCCGTCTCAACATTGACAACTTATGTAATCAAAGATGAATCTGTGTGGACCCCAGTTTTCTGTCTGAATAGTAAGATTAGATATTTTTAAGGCCCCTTCCAGATCCAACAATCTTTAGCTGTCTAACTAGCAAAGGACCCGATACATAGTCGATGTTCAATATTTGATTTATTAGCTGTTGGCAATGTAAAAATACCTCTTAGATAGATATCGCTGATTACAGTGGGGGTCGGGGTGAGGGAGGAGAGCCATTCTGGTTGGGGCTATGCATCCCAAAACATTGCTGATATAGCTTCTTTACTAAGTCAGTTTCTGGAACTATTATATGATTAATATTTTCAATGTTCTATCTCTGGTTCTTTGTGATGCGGAGGAGAGAGAAGAATGTTCATGAATTCTCTAATAACCCATATGATGGGAATTGAACTCTTTTCTTCTTCTGGGAGTTTTTCTTGACATACAAAATGACAGATGCTACAGTGGACAAGGCTTCCATGATGTGTGATGTAATAGAGTACTAGACTTGGATTCTGGAAGAACTGTTTTCAAATCCAGCCTCTGATTTATATTCACTGTGTAACCATAAGGAAGTTACTTAATTAGTCTGAGTATTAGGCAACTTAGATTTTTAATTATTGGATTGTGATCTATGTTGTTGAAGGCAGTTGTCACTGGGAGTGTCTCCTGCGCTGAAATCTAATCCTTGACGAGTATACATACTCACCTGAAAAAGGGGGGTGACAAATCATTGAGTTTTAGTTTGCCTTCCTTTTCAGATCATCATTCAGGGGCTGGAAGATGATTTCCCAAGTATTTATGTATACTCTGTACTTTGATGCAAAGGGGAAGAAAAGATAAGTCACAGAACATTCTCCTTGTACCAGCTGGGGGCAATCCAGGACCACAAATGAGAGTACAGAGGAAAGAGCACTGCAGAGATCATTTGTAATGTTTCTACTCGAGCTGGCATCTATGCCTCTTATAATAACGGATCCAGGCAGCCAAAAGCCATGGCAACCATACCACACAGCAGTCAGGAATGAGAAAAGTCAGCTTCTTTTTAATGGCATTCCTAGTTATCACATCAACATGATGCCCTGGATTAGATGCCCATAGACCTGTAGGGATCTTATGTGATTGGGTTGCATGCTGATTCCACAGAGAAGTAGTCAGAAAATTCCAGTAAAGGCATCTCTTCAGTGGGGGATGACAGTCATTCCAGTGTGGTTGCATTCTCAGTGTGGCACTCCACATGGGTCCCAACCCTCATGCAACATCATTGTATATGTTATGCCTCATACTATTAACTTCTTGGGAGTATTTCTGAGGCCTCAACTCTATAATTAGCATTTAGACCCATAATTATCCAGAGTTGAAAGTTAAAGTGTTAGTTTCTCCATTTATAAATTAAATATATGTGTGTACGTGTGTGTGTATATATATATATATATAGTGTGTATATATATATGTATATGTGTGTGTTTATATGTGTGTGCATATAAATATACTCACACACACAGAGGTAACTAGATGGCTTGATGGAACACAGTACTTAGCCTGAAGTCAGGAAGACCAGAGTTTAAATGTTGCCTCAGACACTTACTAGCTGTGTGACCCTGGGCAAGTCACTTAACCTCTGTTTGCCTTCCTCCACTGGAAAAGGAAATGGCAAACCACTCCAGTATTTTTGGCAAGAAAGCCTCATAGATAGTATGGTCCCCAGGGTCATGAAGAGTTAAACATGACTAAATGACTGAACAGCATCTCTCTCTCTCTCTCTCTCTCTCTCTCTCTCTCTCTCTCTCTCTCTCTCTCTCTATATATATATATAAATACATATATAATTATATTTTAAAATATCTCACTTCAGTTCAAAAAGTTTTTATCAAATTCCTGCTTCCTCTTTCTGTATTTATCATTGCCATTCATGTAGAAGAAATGTCCTGGGTGGTTCCTGCCTTCCCCCTTCCCATAATTAGACTCTCACTAGGGAAATAAATAAAAGGACACACACACACACACACACACACACACAGAGTTAAATGAAGTTCAGGAAAAACAAAGGTAAGCAAGACATCTTTGAATCTAACATGTTGAATTTATTATATATTTTTAAAAAGCCATATTGTATATAATATTCATGATTTCAAATGCAATCCTGGTTTTCTCTTCCTTGTATACATAAATATTCACATCTGTTTCTATTTTAAATATTATCATAATTAAAGTAAAAAATAAATTAAAAACAAAACAGCAACAATAGTAAAATAGCAGTACAGGATGACACATTTTCGAGAGTACCATGATAGTGACAGAAAGGAAAGTTTGACCACAGTTTCAACCATAATGGGAGTTGGGACATCTATTCCTCAGAGTGCCCGAATTTGTGTTTGCTGGGGAGAAAGACCCTGAGAGAAGGGTGCTATAGCATCAGAATCTTGAGTGGGGTGCCATGTAGCATCTTTGGCCAGAGAAATACAACAAGAGGCAAGGCTTAAGAAAATAATCACTGTGTGAAGAAAGCATCACCTTCTGAGGAAGAAGCATCTGCACCCCAGAATATACTACTTCCTCTCTGATGTTCATGACCTGGGGTAAAGCCTCATTTATCCCATCTCAGTTAACGTTCTGGCTTTTGTAATTTTGGTAGAACATGATAACAGCAACGTTCTTTTTTTTTTTTTTTTCTTTTTCTTTGTTTTTAAGTTGAATAGGAAACTTTCAAGCAGAAGAGAATCTATGTCTGGGTCCCTATGCTGGTGGTAGCCAAAGACCACTACTCTAATTCAGTGCCTCATTCCACCTTCCCTGCCTTTTTTGTTTCTCTCTTCCTCACATTCATTTTTAGTTTGTCATTTATCCTATCCCATATAAATTTAATCATTGTATCTCTGCTGTGCTCTGAATTTTTCCTGGCTGTAACTCCAACAGAGCAGAATAAAAGTAATAACAGAGCTACAGTGGTGATTCTAAAAGCCCACGCTGATAAGATTGGAAAGTAATCATCCTGATGGAAGAAAAGGAATAGGGGTTTCAAACACAAACTTTTATTTTTGACAACTTGGTAGCAAAGCACTTCTTAAGAAAACCCTATAAGATTTATTGTGTTTTTTTTTAACTGCTGATATTTTAATCAAGGGACATGATTAAGACTCAGGGAAAGATTGTAAAAGTTGCTTAAAATTTCATTGAAATTGTTACTGCAAGTACCACCTGTCTATTAGGATAACTTCTACGTTGAATAATGCTAGCTATAATACTATCCCAGTACTATATTGATTGAATTTTTTTAACTTGTCTGAATTAAATTTGATCCTCTTCATAGGCATTTTTATGCCCATCATAATCAAATGCTCAACATTGCCCCTCAAAGTCAAGTTATCAGCCATATGGCATTGAGATGGATAGTGTCATTAAGATAGAACTTAATGCAGGACCTGGCGGCTGCTTTAAATCCAGACTTTGAGTGGACTCTTTAAATCCCCTTGTCTCTGTGGTGACTTTGTTTTTCATCTTTCTACAGCCATACTGTTCCCTGCATCTTCACTTAAAGGTCTCTGACAACCCATACACCTCCGGAAACATTGCCAGCCGTGACACAGCTCCCAGCATCATAGTAGCTTCTGGTAAGAGGGTTTCTCTTGGTTTTCTTCCTGTTGTGAAGAACACCTTTGAAGAAAGGATGTATCTCTGTTTGGTTTTTGATTAGCAAATTGGAAAGGGGAGAAACCAGATTGCTTCATTACAACTGAATGCATTACGCTGAGTATCTCCACTCAGCTATGTATTTTCACTCTGAAGTAGTGTGAGAGATTCTAATGTGCTAATAAATGAGGTTCATGCAACACTTTAATAAAATGTCACCTCCTCTAAGGGTGATATTCTCTTTCCAGGTAACATTGGATCTGAGCTCTCTGACAATGATATCAGCATGTTTGTATCTTCAGATGCCGGGAACACCTGGAGGCAGGTAAATGACTTGTGGCAGGTCCCTGTGGTGCAAAGAGTCACGTGTCTTTGACTAACAGTCCCACTTCTATTCTGCAGCACCTACCTATGCCTGTTTGAATGTTTCCTTTTTCATTTTTCCATTGTGAAAGACAACCTAAGGCCTCAAAATAATGTATTAGGACTTTAAAGATGCTGTGAATTCATCAATGGGGGCATGAGTTATACCAATTTTGATTGTACTCACCCCTCAACCTCTTATTATGTGATTTTTTTTCATAAATGGCTTTCACCAACCAGATATGGTAGTGCAGACCTATAGTGCCTACTGTTGCAGAAGTTGACATTGGTGGATCACTTAAGTTTGGGAGTTCTGAGCTATAATAAGGATAAAGTTGATCAAGAGTCTGAAATAAGTCTGGCACCAATATGGTGAGCCCCTAGGGGTGCAGGGTCAACAGGCTAACTAAGGATGACTGAACTGGCTCAAATAGAAAAACAGAGCAGGTTAAAGGTTCCATACCTATCAGTCTTGAGATCAGGTCTATGAGTAGCTACTGCACTTGTAGCCTGAGTAATATTAGGGAGACTCAGTTAATTTTTTTAAAGGTTTTCACCAAAAATTAAAACAAATCCATAAAATCTATCACCTAGTATCCAGGGGTTATATTTGAAGCTCTTTGAGACCAGGGGCTGTCTAATTATTTTTATTTGTATTTCCAACACATTGCACAGTGTCTGGCACATAGTGGACAGAATAAATGCTTATTGATTAATTGATAGGGATGTGCATGTCTGAACTTGGTAATACTGAACTTGGTAATACCATGGACAACAGACATGCATACAGTTTGTTATCCAGCCTGTATCCAAAGCCTTCCAGGTTGGTGTACCTTTGGAGTAATAACCTTTGAGAATCTAGACTTGCCTCCAATCCAAAAGACGGTATTGGAGTTGAGTTTTAGTAGAGGTTTAGAAAGCCTATAATAAATATAATAATCCCAGTCAATTTTATTTAATATTCATTTGTTAACTTAGTTTGGTTTTTATTAAGACAAAAATCTATAAGTGACAATGAAACCAAATTAAGTCAGAATGAAAATTTCTCATAAAACAAAGTCGAAAACCCAATGGTTTTGTTGTTCATGGAGCCTGAAGCCCAAAGGGCCTGATTATAAGCCTAGCTCTGAGTTACCTCCATAAATTCCTCTTGCCTTGAAGACAGATCATTGTAAGAATTGCTGCATAAAGAAATAGTCATTACACAGGTGGTGTTCTGAGATGTTTAAATCTCATGTGCACAAGACAGAGTAATAACCATCAGGGTGCATATGTCAGGAAAAGTAGAAATGAAATCGCTTTAAACCAATGTGTTTAGCTCAAATGCCTCCTGTCTGTCTTCTGCATGCAAATTAGGTATCCATTGCTTATAAAACAGGCACTTAATGAGGTTTAGCAATCATAACAAGATATGTGTCTAATGCGTGGTTGTTACACTTCAATAAACATGTTTTAATAACCCACTGACGTTTAATTATCATATAATAACTAGCAACATAAATTGAAATCTAACATGCAGGTGAGTGCACTCAACAGTGAGAATACTTTGCATTGCATTTCCTGCTAAGGATGACCTGTTTTAGATTTTCTCTGCAAGCTCTTGGATCCAGACCATTTATGGGTACAAAACTCTGCTACTTGGGGCTCAGAGGAAAGTACTTAAAAAATAAAAAAGTGGTTCAACTTAGAGACCAATATATAGATGTGCATAGGAACAAGAGAGTGAGATTAATGAAGTGGTCTCTGGGAGGGCAATGTGAGAAGAGATTGAGGGCATTATGGTTCCTCATCCTACCTTCCTCCCAAAAGAATCCTTTCCTCCCAAACAAAAACACTATCCAAGAAGAAGACATGTCTAGGACACAGTGCTACTCTATCTTCTGATATCTAGAATGTTCACCAGGTCTCACTGGGAAAAGCTACTGAGCCCACATGCACAGGGGCAGCATCTGTATGTGATTTGAGTATCTCTGAGCAGGATTTTTGTGAGGATAGAATGGCCATCTGTCTTAGCAAGGATTACTGGGTATTCTCCCACTCCTTGAATGCTACTTCAGGCATAAAAGTAGTTACTCCTCATTTTGAGGGATGACACACAGCACATGTTGGGAACAGAGGAATAGACTCCAGCTCTCCCTTTTCAAATTGAGCCACCCCATGATTTGACAGGACAATAGCACACTTGTCAAGGATAACCTTCAGGAACACTTTTCACCTTTTCCGTAGAAGAAGTAGAGGGGAAAAACACTAGACTCCTAGTCCAGGGATCAAAGGTTCAATCCTAGCCTCGTCACTAGCTAAGCTGTGTGGCCTTGAGCAAGTCATGTAACTAATTACTTGATAGTTAAACATCCTAGGACTGTAGGTTTAGAGATGGAAGGGATCTTAGAGGTCATTGAGGCTAATCCCTTTATTTTATACATGAGTAACTGAGGTCCAGAGATGTGAAGTGACCCGTCTCTAATTGGTGATTTTTACCTTATCTTTCCCAGAACCTAGTTATCACTTCCCTTCCCATCCACCTTCCATCCAGGCCCTGTGCATGTACCCTTGGGTAATTCCATTCCATTTTCCAACTTTAATTTTCCAATATGGGTGTCTTCACTCATTGGAATGTAAGTTCCTTGAGAACAGGGGCTCTCTTGTTTGCTCATATTTAGACCTCTAGTTATTAGCACAGTTCCTGGCATATATAAAGCACAATAATTTTTTAAATTCATTTTCCAAGTTTTTGAGGGTAGACAATGGCAGAGACAGGATTTGAATCTTCTTGTCTGACTTCTAATCAAATTATCTTTTCCCAACACTATAAGGTGACCAAATTGGTACCCTGGAAAATGGCGAGAACTTAGATAAAACTTAATTCCTATAATCCTTTCCAACTTAAAAAAAAAGTCTCTTCTGTGACTTTAAGTACTTCCTGAGATTCGGGGATGTGGAGAAAATAGGAGAGAATTATCTCTATAAAATCTTGTTGATTCATTGATTGGAATCTCCCTCTGCATTTAATCTTTGATAACTGGATAAAGTAGCTGTATCAGTTTTTCTGTGCTGTTCTTTTTTTCTAGATCTTTGAAGAAGAGCATAGTGTTCTGTACCTGGATCAAGGTGGGGTCTTGGTTGCTATGAAACACACATCTCTGCCGATCCGACATCTCTGGTAATGGTGCTGCCTGCTGTGACACAGTGCTGATCATTCTGAGCTGCAAAAACCCATCCCTGAGTCTTGCTATCAGCAGACAGATTGTGCTGGTGTTTGTAGTAAAATGCCAGAATTCATCAGAACATAATTTACACCCTCACTCTGTTAAAGTGAGACTGTTGAATGCAGTTTCACACACACACAAAAAAAAAAGACAAAAAAGTCTGCCCTTGAGGTAAAAGAAAAAATGAATTATGATTTTCAGATATGACAATTCCTTTCCCACTCCCACGGAATTTTGGGTGGGAGGATATACCAATGAAGATCCCCAGATATGTTTTTGAGCAGTTTTAACTCCTTATAGTTAACTTCTTACAGCCAGTTTTCCCAAATGGAACTAGCTAGAATTGTAGCAATTCTTTGTCACTTGTCCCTACAGTTCCCAATGTCTCTATCTCTCTTGCCTGGGCAGTGTTCCTGAACCACTTGGGCTATGATTTATACCCAAAGGCAAATTCTATGCCTTTTAGTTGTATATATGTATAAGGGACAGGTTTAGAGCCCCAGAGTTTCCCATGGTTTTCTTCCTTTCATAAAAGAGGATCTCAACTGCTCTGCCTCTGTTCAAGTCATAATCCTGTTTGCAATACCACTATGAGTTGCTGTGGCAGTAAATTATTTAAATGCCACAAATGGAGCATTGTGATTTCAGTTGGAGAACAGAACACAGAAGTGGGAGACCCACTGCTAAGCAAAGCCCTGGGTCTCAGGCACAGGCAACAAGAGGAAAGGAAGGCTGCAGGAAATGTAGCCTAGTAGTTGGCAAACCATAAACTATGGGTAAAAGGATGTTAACAAGCTATTATTTTTTTCTCCACTCTTTCAGGGTGTCCCTGAGATTCTAGCCTTTGTGTATAGTCATATGACAAATGCAAAATCTAACAGAGATGATAAGATCTTCAATGACATTAAAATGAAGCTGGTCAGGGTTAGATCATTCATTCAAAAATATGTATTAATTACCTGTAATATACAAGACATGGTTTTATGTATTGATGGAGATTCAAAGGTGATTAAGATTAGAGACCTACCCTCAAAGAGTTTGCAGCTTAGCAGAGGTATCAAATCATAGAAACACAAATGGAATTAGGATATAAAATACAACATAATAATAGAATGAGAAATACAACATAGTATGGCAATTCAAAAGAAGAAGAAGAGTACCCATTTGACTTAGGGATGGATTGGGGAAAGTCGCTTGGAAATCAGAACTTTGTATATCATATGCACTCAATACACATGAAATGAAAGAATAAATGTAGCCATGATATTTAAGAGATTTGCTTTCTATTGAAAACCATTCTTGTAAGTAGTTACATGTCTCTGCCTCCTTGGAAGCAATTGCTCTAAATTTTCCCAACTACCTACCACACCTTTATTTGAGTTGCAGTGGGTTGTGGAGAACATCTCACTGAGGTCTAAAGTTTGATGAGAGTATGTCTACCAGAAGATTTCTTCTTTAATGTGTCTTATTCCCTTTCAGCATTATTTTCCTTGGTAGAGAGGCTAACATGCCTGGGTCTTAGATAAGCAGCCCTATTGTGCCTATCTCTGTAGATGAAATTAAGCATAATTTGTGACCTCTAAGTATCACTTTTCCCATGTCCTTTTGGCTTAAAAATTGCCTTACTTGGGGAAACTAGTGGCACAGTGGATACAGCACTGGCCCTGGACTCAGGAGGACCTGAGTTCAAATCCGGCATTTGACCCTTACTAACTGTGGGACCCTAGGCAAGTCACTTAACCACATTGGCCTAGCAAAATACCAAATAGAAATACCTAACTTATTCCTCTTAATTTTTTGGGAGGGATGGAAATCCTTGATTAATTAGCTTTATTATATCTTTCTATACTTCTTGCCACTAGGTTAAGTTTTGATGAAGGGAGATCGTGGAGTAAATACAGTTTCACTTCCATCCCTCTTTTTGTGGATGGAGTCCTGGGTGAGCCTGGAGAAGAGACCCTGATCATGACGTAAGTATGATTCTGTGAGAAGTTACTATATTTTTCAGCCTTGCCCAAAATAGCTGCTTAGATAGTTTTCACCAGGCGGTTAGGGTTAAAGCTTCTAGAGCTGCTTGTTAAGGCCTCTCTATCATTGAAGAGAAATTTGGTTTTAGGTGTAACGTCAGTGGAAATGTGTCAGGATAGAAGGTAACCATCTCCCATTCTAATTTCTTTCTGATAATTAAAAAGTATAATAGTAAGAGAGAGGGCCAACCTTGGAGCCAGGAAGCCCTAGGTTCAAATATTGCCTCTTGATATATATGAGCATTATAATCAATCACAGACAAGTCACTTAACCTCTCAATGCTCCAGGCAACCAAGAACTTGATTGACAGATGAGCTGCCAACTTGCATTGGTAGAAGTTACTGTACAAGAGGCAGCTAGATGGTACAGTGGGCAGAACACTAGGCTGGGAGTCAGGAAGGCTTGAGTTCAAATGTGGCCTCAGACAACTAGGCAAGTCTCTTAAATTCTGTCTGCCTCAGTTTACTCAAATATAGAATAGAGATAATAATAACATCTACTTCAAAGTGTTTTTGTGAGGGTAAAATGAAATACTATTTTAAAGTACTTTGCAAAATTTAACAAGCTATATAAATACTAGCTATTTATTATAAAGTAGAAGTCCTTACATTGAGGAAATCACAGATCTAGTTCCCTTATGTCCCATACCCTAAAATGAAGAAGCATGTCATCAAAAATCTTTTCTAGCCTTATAGTAGATATTTACACTTTTTTAATTCAAACCATTTTTAGTAGTCTGCAACTCAGAATCATTACAAACCTGTAGCCACAGTAACACATGTGAACACACCCCATTTTAAGTATGAGAAAATAAGTTCCTTTGTTAAAATGGAGCAATTTTTTTTTCTTTCCTTTTTCTGATGCTGTCACCAACTACACATATTCCTAACACAAACAGGAGGTATATTTGAAACATTGCTGTTTTTTTTCTTTACACAATAAATCACAATCAATACTTTGAAAAATATATCATTAATGATTTGGGTGAATCTGGACTTTAAAAGCATATATTCAACTTTTCAAAATATAAAAATTTGATTTGTACCCAATAACAGAAAACTGGACAAGGGAAGCATACCGAAATAATAATAAAATCTATTGCCCTTTGCTAAGCAAAAAGTTCCAATAATGAAGCAAGATTTGTTTGAATCTGTCCTAGCACATTTTTAATTTCTATCAAAAATACAATTACTCATCATGCAAATAGTTTTGTTGGGCAAGTGTAAATAGAGTTTTTCTTTGTTTAAAACTTTGGCTTTTTACGGTTTTTTTTTTGTTTTGTTTTTTGCAAAATCTACAGAGCACACCAAATGAGAAAGCAAATCATTCACCTTTTGATGACATATGATCATCAATGCCCAGCCTAAATTGTGACTCTTTCTCTTAAGACCTTAAAGTATAGAAGTATATTAGGGCTCTGGGGGGCCGGGAGCTGGTGTTAGCTAGTGGCAGACAGAACAGAGGGTTGAGCTTCAGTTGCTTGAAAGAAGTCAGTATGGAGATTATAGTAGAGTAGCAACCAGAATCCTAGAGTTTATAGTCATTGACCCAATGGGAAGCAATACTTATTGATGTTCTAACACAACTACGCTCCCCATTGCTGTGCTCTGTAGAGTGTTTGGACACTTCAGCCATCGTTCTGAATGGCAGCTGGTCAAAGTAGACTACAAGTCTATATTTGATAGGCGGTGTGCTGAGGAAGACTACAGACCATGGCAACTGCACAGCCAGGTAAGTGGAAAGAGGGCTCAAGTTGGGGTTTTGCCTAAAGTTGGGAAAAGAGACACTGGTTCAGAGTCATCGGAGTTGTATATTCTTCCTGACAGCTAAGTGGGGAGGCAGTTGGGGTTATCAAGGCCATATTTCCTGTCTGGTGCTTCCATATGTGTTTTGTGTTCCACAGGAGTGAACAAACTAAGGCTTTATAGTTTGTTGTGAAGTCATTTCTGTTTTTATTATGCTGAGATATAATGAGATAAAATTCAAATATGCTTGGCTTAGACTTACAACTCAAAATGAAATACCAACTCAGCACCAAGATCCGAGCATAATTTGTCTAGGCATGTCATCAGGTTGTGGGAGGGGGACTGGAGAGGAGAGCTTCAGCTTTATCCAACATTGAAAAAACAGGCATGAAACAATTGTATTAAACTGAATAAGTGGAACCAAAGAAGCACTTTTTTTTTAATTATCCTAATTCCCTTGTATTGTGCAATATCTTTCTGCTCCCTCCAAGATAATTTAGGTGCAAGGGGTACAGACTTATTAATAAGGAATTGCCCCTTGTTGGGCCTTGATTATTCATATCAGTCTACATGATCCCTCCCTCCTCTATCTCTATAGGAGGAAAAAAATTCTATGGGTTTTACAAGAAACTGAAAAGAATCTTAATATAAAATCATTGTTGTATTTAGGAATCAGTATACAATATATCCAGAGTATAATCTAAGTGATGTATTTACATATAAGTGCATTATAGATTCTGATAAAGTGAGCCCAAAGAAGGCAGGTAGAAATAAAGTCAAACTTTGTACTGAATTTCTAGTCATTAAGAAGCTGGATTTGACAGAATGGTTGCGTTTCAAAGGAGATTTGGTCACAGCTGTGTTCAGAAGCTAAAAGATGAAATCATGGTAGATTTCAATATGACTGTGTATCTCCCTTGGCATACATTGTCATTGAGTTGTTTTAGCTTTTATGTGATTCTTTTTTTAAGGATGCTGCATGCTTTTTTCTCATTATAAAGGAAGACATGAAATTATTGCCAAGAGGTCATGTGGTCAGAGATGTAACAATAGGGCATGATGGGGATTATACATCTCTAAAACATGTCCACATAATCCCAATTCATTCAGCTTTTACATCATGATATGGTTAATATCTTTGCTCTTACTACTTTCCAGGTGTATTTTGGGATTTTTTTGTTGCTCTATAATGTCAGATTATTGGATAATTCCCTTTAGAGATTGGATCTTTTTGGAATTATAGCAAGGTCCCTATTAGTATGAATCATGAATCCCCTGAAGTGACTGCATATATTTGAATTCTCTTCTTCAAAGTTCCACTTATGTAAAATATGGTAATTGGTTCCAGTCCACTGGAAATATACAATGTGAATTCAAATAACATAACCACTTCAGGGTTATTAGTATTATTCACAATAATTAGGACCTAGTTCTACCAGTTAACAATTCTTAATTAAAAATCAGGACCACAAACTCTGTAACTTAATCCTATTTTGAAGGCTAGTCAGAGCTCAATTGTACTGTTATCAGAAGTGGGTAGCATGATTATTTAGGATTTCTATTTTCCTTCATAGGGAGAGGCATGCATTATGGGAGCCAAGAGGATATATAAAAAGCGTAAATCAGAGAAGAAATGCATGCAGGGAAAATATGCAGGAGCCATGGCTTCTGAACCATGTGTCTGTACAGAGGCTGATTTTGATTGGTGAGCTTTCTGTCTCATTTTGCATGTTTATTTTATCTTTTCATGAGTTAAATAAATGCACAAGGTAATATTGTCAATTTATCATATTTGTGTATCTGTTAGATGCACTAGCATTATTACAATGCTTTAGGGCCTACAGAATGAACTTCATTCCCCACAATGAAGCTTGATGAGGAAAGAATGTAGTGTGCAGTAAGACAGCATTCAGAATACAAGTATCAATTTCACCCTTATAACCACTAACAGGAAAGTAGAGAGAAGGGTTTTAATGTTCATATACTTGGAGTTAAGTTCTCCTTATCCCTTCCTCCTTAGGACAGAATTTTACCTGGTTTTATTGATCATGAAGGAGATGACACTATCATCACCTAAAAGGTCTTTTATATCTCTCTCCTCTCTTTCTTAGACAAACAACTAGATAAAGCTATCTGCACGCATTATCTCTACTTCCTTTCCTCTCTCTCACTTCTCATCCCCCTGAAGTCTGACTTCTATCCTCATCACTCAACTGAAGATGCTCTCTCCAAAGTCAACAATGTTCTCTTAATTAAAGGATCTGATGGTTTTTTCTTCATCTTTCTTTTCCTCTCTGTTGATTTTTGTAATACGACTCCCTGCTGGTTCTCCTACTACATCTCTGACTGCTTGTTCTCAGTTTCATCATCTATTATGTTCTCTAACACACTTTCTCTCTCTCTCTCTCTCTCTCTCTCTCTCTCTGTCTCTCTCCCTCTCTCCCTCTCTTCTCTGCTCTGTCTCTCTTCCCCTCTCTTCTCTCCTCTCTCCTCTCTCTCTCTCCATCAGCCCCCATGAGTTCATTTATCATTTCTATGTGGGTGACTCAGAGTTATATATCCTTCCATCCCCATACTTTCTCCTGTCCTCTAGTTTGAGACATCTCAAACTCAAAATATCCAAAGTAGAGCTACTTAGCACCAATGGTAGATTATGCCTAACACATATGGCTAGGAATTAGATAACTTAGTTCTGGTTCTGCCTCTTACCTTTGTGATATGGGATGTCATTCTCCCTTTCCTTGACTTAATTTCCTCATCTATAAAAAATTACAAGTTAAGATAGGCCATCTCTAAGATCCCTTCTAGCTCTACATACTATTGTGCTGTATAGTCCATTTACCACTTAATTACCCAATTAAATGACTTTTTATAAGTCTTCACCCTCCTTGAATGCCCTAAAGAATTTTAGTCTATTTACTATACTTACTTATTTTAAATTTTCTCTTCCTTGACTTCCATAACACTATTCTTTCCTGATTCTTCAACACCTTAATCATTTCCTTCTTTGTCTCTTTCTCTGATTCATATTCCCTTTTTATTTGCTAAATATTAGAATTCTCCAGGGTTCTTTTTAATATTCTCTTCTCTGGTCTTCAGCTCTTGTGGCAATCTCATCCACTGTCATGGATTTGCCCAAAAACTCCAGGAGAAATGCCAGAAGCAGAACAGAGGTCTGTACACAATGTTTGTAGATCTGACCAAGGCCTTTGATACTGTCTGTTGTGAGGGCTTATGGAAAATATTTCTGAATTTGATTGCCAGGAGAAATTCATGAGCATTGCATGTCAATTTCATGATGGCATGTTTACCTGGGTTCTAGATAGTGGACAATGTTCTTGTGTTTTCCCAGTCACCAATGAAGTGAAACAAGGCTGTGCTTGCTCCCATGCTTTTTAGCATGATGTTTTCAGTCATGTTGTCAGATGCCTTCAACGAGGATGAACACAGATTAAAGTTCAGCTACAGCACTAATGGTAAATTCTTCAACTTGAAAAGACTACAAGCCAAGACTAAAGAGGAGAGAATGTTGGTGCATGATTTTTTGCTTGTAAATGATTGTGCACTCAATGCAACCTCTGAAGCTGAGATGCAGCAAAGTATGGATGAATTCTCTGTTGCTTGTGCTAATTTTGGTCTAACAATTAAGACCAAGAAAACTCAGGTGCTCCATCTGCCAGCACCACACCAACCATATGTGACACCATTGGAGAAGTTTTGAATGCTGTGGATAAGTTCACTTACCTTAATAGTGTACATTCCAGGGATATACACATTGATAATGAGGTTGATGCACACATTGCCAGAGCTAACTCCATGTTTTGGAGGCTCTGAAGTAAAGTGTGGGAGAGAAGAGGTATTAGACTAACTACTAAACTGAATGTCTATAGAGCCATTGTGTTGACCTCACTGTTGTATGCCTATGAAACCTGGACAGTGCCATGCCAGGAAACTGAATCGCTTCCATTTGAATTGCCTTAGAAAGATTCTGAAGATCACCTGGCAGGATGAGATACTAGCCACTGAGATCCTTTCTTGAACTAAACTGCCAGACATTCAAACTCTGCTTCAGAGAGCACAACTCCAGTGGGCTAGTCATGTTGTTTGAATGCAAATTGTACGCTTACCAAAAAAGACTATTTTGTGGAGAACTGACACAAGGCAAGCATTCACATGGTGGTCAGAAGAAGTGATACAAGGACACTCTCAAGGTCTATTAAGAACTTTGGAATTGATTGTGTGATATGGGAGACACTGGCACAGGACTACCTGGTATGGCATACCCACATCAGAGAAGTTGCTGTGCTCTATGAGCAAAGCAGAATTGAAGTAGCTCTAAAGAAACATGAGATGTACAAATTTAGAGAATCCACCCCAAAAGTTCACATGGACTATTTGTGCCCCGCCTGTGGTAGAACATTCTGAGCTTATATTGGTCTGATCAGCCACGTTCAGACACACTGTAACTTGATCTAGCATAGTGATGCTATTTTGGTCCTTTTTGTGAACGAAAGACAACAACCAACTGTCCTATCTATGTTAATGATTCCAAATCTATATGTCAAATCCTATCCTATCTCATAAACTTGAGACCCACATTTAAAAAAAAATTCAACCAACATGTCTAAGACAGAATTTATCGTCTCACTTTACCCACCCAATTTATTTTTCTTGTGACCCTTCTGACTTTCTCATTTTTATTAATTCCATACCACCATCCACTTTGTTACCTAATCTTCAAACGTTGTTACCATTTTGACCCTTCTCTGTCCAGTCCTTACAGCCATCAGTAACTAAGTTCTTCCATTTCTATTTCTGGAATTTCTATCCCATTCTTTCTATTTCTGCTGCTACTACCATAGTTTAGAGTTGGAGAACTTTTTTTTTGATGAGGCAATTTGCATTAAGTGACTTACTCAGAGTCACATGGTTAGTGAGTGTTATGTGTCTCAGGCTGGATTTGAACTCAGGTCCTCCTAACTCTAGGGTGCTCACTGTGCCACTTAGCAGCCCCAGACATTGAGCACTTTTGTTGGACATATTGGATCATGTCAATGGTGTTCTAGATGGTCCCTCTGAACACGGTCTCTCCCCTCTAATCCATCATGCTAATACAGATTATTATTCCTAGAACACTATTCTAATTATGTCACCTGATCACTGCTCACATACCTTCTCTGGCTCCCTATTATCTAAAATAATAGCCAGACTCCTTATACTATAATTCAAGGGCCTTAATGATGTGACCTCAGTCGACTTTTCTAGCTTTGGCTTCTACTATTTCTCTATATACAGTCTGTCCACTTCAAGGAAAGTGGACCACTAACTTTTCCTTACCACACCCCTACACTATTTTCCTGTCACCCTGCCTTTGTTCATACTGATCCTTCCAAATATGCTTACTTCCTACTCATCCTTTAAATCGTAGCTCAAATTCTCCAGCTTCCATTAAGCCTTCCATGATCTTCTTGATTGGAAGTGTATTTTCTCATTTTACTCTGGTAGCATTTTGCACTTGTCTTCTTAAGCTTTCACACATTGACATGTATGATACCCATTTGAATCCATGGATTTTCTCTCCTACTAGAAAGTAAGTTCTGTGAAGTCCTTGCCTTATTTTTGTATCTCTCACAAGGATGAATTTGGTGCTTAACAGATATAAGACACTCTTATGTTTATGATAGGTGCATATGTGTGCAGTATGTTTTTATAATGTATGTATGTATGCATATATATATACATATATGAATGTAGTACATTCATGATGTCTGTGTATAATATGTGTGTATAGTATATTTATATATAGTACCTCCTCTGGTTTAGACTCTCTATTAACACTCCCAGGTTGGACTTACAGGGGGGCTACTATAAGAAGATTAAAGGTACTCTATGGGTCCCCATTCCTCATGAACTTTGCCCCCCACCAATGAGTTTAAATTTACTAGGCAGTCATTTGATATAATTAGCCCAAAGCAAAGGCATTTCCTGGAACAGCATAGCAAGATCAGTAGTTAAAAAACATTATCCCATAGACTTTGTACCTATTCTCCCATAAATAAATACAGTTTCAGTGAGAAATTAGGCAGAACACACATAGAGTACAGGGGTAGAGAGGCACACAGTCTGGGAACATGTGTGGCCAAGACCATTCATGTCTCCAATGCTGCATAGTCCTGATGACCTTTCTCTTCCAGATTTATCATCACACTACTGGGTGCTGAACTATTACTGGAAAAATAACTCAGCTTTTCTCCTTAACTTTGCTTTTCTCTGCAACTCATCTTTCACTTGCTAGGTGTAACTCTCCCTTGAATTTCAGAGATGATTCTCTATGGAATTGTGGAGATGAATTTTTGACTATTTCCTTAGGATAGAATGTGTATTGTATATGAAGTGCTGGCAGGCTTTTTAAAGTCCATGATGAGTGTTGTTTATTCATTAGCCAGCAAATGGTTAGCATCCCTAAAGTTCCATCAAATTGATGGAGAAAACTTTCCCTACCCCCATAGGAACTCACAAAGTATGCTTCTTTATTTGATTGTTTCTGGTACCTTCTTAGAGCCTGTAATCGTATCATATGGGCTTACAGGCATGTTAGTGAAGTCTGGAGGGTGAATCATGAGTGATCTGGGCCCTTTCTTAAAATGATGGTTCTAGGAAGAACTCACCAATGAGAGAAAGGGGCTTGTAGGGGCAGAGGAAGAA